GAGAGTCTGGTGGGACAGGAGACGACACGAGCAGGGAGCAGACTCAGGACCAGACCTGGATGCCGCAGCAAACACCTGACTCGACACAGCTGCCTGACCAGACTTAGCAGTCGGAGGAGACTTAGTAGTGAGTGTGTACAGGCTCGACCCCGGCCGACGGGTGAACGTGGCCAAGTGTCGGCATGTCCGAGCACACGTGCAGTGGGTCACCCGCTGACTCGCAGGAGTGAACTGGTCAACCCCCCTCTTCTGTAGATCAGCTCCACTCACCAAGTTCGTAGAGAACGAGGGGAGGTAGAGACCGGACAGGGTGCCAGAGGGGGCTGCCGGGCACGGTAAGACAGTGGAGAAGCTAGCAAGGACAAGACCCCCAGAGGGGTGCGCCAGGGAGACCGCAACCGGCCGACTAAGTGGCGTAAGCATGGTGCAGTCTCGAAAGAAGGAGCGGGAAGCACCCGAGTCAAGGGTGAAGGTGTGTAAGGCCTGAGCCGACGTGGTACCTGAGAGAGCAGACTCACCAGCACCTGGGGCAGCAGACGCACAAGCACCTAGAGCAGCAGCCTCACCAGCACCTAAGGCAGCAGACTGGATACCGGGGTCAGGCGGCACACACAGGTGACAGACTCCCTCGGCACTAGTAGACAATGCATACATTGCACTGAGAATAGCATCATAGTCAAGAGCAAAGATATCTACCCTCTGCCTAAGCACCTCCACCCAGTCGGGGAGCTCAGCGTCGTCACCAAACTCTGTACGCCAAGTGTCGCTCAGACGCGCGAAGCAGCGGGACTCTGTGTGACCACGCGTCCCCCAAGTCTGACCAGTCCAGACACCCGTGCTAATAACGTATGGGCAGCGAGCAGTACTCAGCGACCCTCCACTCTGAGCGTGCCACTCACGAAGCTGCTGGGGTGAAAGAGTCTCGCGCAGACAACGCTGCTGCTGCACCGGGCCACTACAAGAAACTCCCGAACTACCCACTCCAGGACGACTCCCACTACTGCCACCCCGACAACCCCAACTGGTGTACCACTCACGAAGTTGTTGGGGGGTGAGGGACTCACACGGGGGACGCTGGAGCTGCATCCTGCCACTACAAGCAGCTGCGGAACTACTCAGGAGCAGTAGTAGCAGTAGAAAGAGCAGCAGTAGTAAGAGCAGCAGTAACAGCAGTACGGGCAAGGCAATGCTCACCAGTGGCGAGAAGAGCAGGCGTACGACGGCGGCAACGGCGAAGCCGCTACCATTGTAGAGCGAGAGCTTCGCGGCAGCTGCAAGAGTGGCTGCTCCAGGGGCGGCTGCTGCAGTGGCGGCTTCTCCAGGGGCGGCTGCTGCAGTGGCGGTTGCTCCATGGGCGGCTGCTGCAGTGGCGGCTCCTCCAGGGGCGGCTGCTACAGTGGGCGGCTGCTGCAGCGGCGGCTGCTCCAGGGGCGGCTGCTGCAGCGGCGGCTGCTCCAGGGGCGGCTGCTGCAGCGGCGGCTGCTCCAGGGGCGGCTGCTGCAGTGGCGGCTGTCCCAGGGGCGGCTGCTGCAGTGGCGGCTGCTCCAGGGGCGGCTGTTGCAGTGGCGGCTGCTCCAGGGGCGGCTGCTGTAGTGGCGGCTGCTCCAGGGGCGGCTGCTTGAGTGGCGGCTGCTCCAGGGGCGACTGCTGCTGCTGGGCGACTCGGCGGCTCGGCTGCCCGCTAGGGGCGGCGACGGGGCCGGGTAGGGGCGGCGATGGGGCCGCTAGGTGCGGCGACGGGGCCGCGTAGGGAGGGGAGCAGCGACGGGGCCGCTAGGGGCGGCGACGGGGCCGCGTAGGGGCGGCTACGAAGCCTCATAGGGGCGGCGACGGGGCTGCGTAGGGAGGGGAGCGGCGACGGGGCCGCTAGGAGCGGCAACGGGGCCGCGTAGGGGCAGCGACGGGGCCGCGTAGGGGCGGCAATGGGGCCGCATAGGGAGGTCAGCGGCGACGAAGCTGCTAGGGGCGGCGACGAGGCCGCTAGGGGCGGCGACGAGGCCGCGTAGGGGCGGCGACGGGGCCGCGTAGGGAGGGGAGCGGCTACGGGGCCGCTAGGGGCGGCAACGGGGCTGCGTAGGGGCTGCGACGGGGCCGCGTAGGGGCGGCAACGAGGCTGCGTAGGGAGGTCAGCGGCGACGGGGCGGCGACGGGGCCGCTATAGGCGGCGACGGGGCCGCGTAGGGGCGGCTACGGGGCCCCGTAGGGAGGGGAGCGGCTACGGGGCCGCTAGGGGCAGCAACGGGGCCGCGTAGGGGCGGCCACGGGGCCACGTAGGGGCGGCAATGGGGCCGCGTAGGGAGGTCAGCGGCGACGGGACGGCTAGGGGCGGCGACGGGGCTGCTAGGGGCGGCGACTGGGCCACGTAGGGGCGGCTACGGGGCCGAGTAGGGAGGGGAGCGGCTACGGGGCCGCTAGGGGCGGCGACGGGGCCGCGTAGGGGCGGCGACGGGGCTGCTAGGGGCGGCTACGGGGCCGCGTAGGGGCGGCAACGGGGCCGCGTAGGGAGGGAGGCGGCAACGGGGCCGCTAGGGGCGGCGACAGGGCCGTTAGGGGCGGCGACGGGGCCGCGTAGGGGTGGTGATGGGGCCGCTAGGGGCCGCGAGGGGCCTGGAAGGGCGGCTACGGGGCCGCTAGGGGCGGCGACGGGGCCGCTGAGGGTGGCGCGAGGGGCCGTGAGAGGGGCCACTAAGAGAGGTCGACTGAAGGGCAGCCCAGAAGGCGCGCCTCCAGCAGGAGCGACTGTCGCTCCGGTCAGAAAAAAAAGTTTCAGTGGTGGGCCCAAGGAAGCGTTCCCACTAGGGAACCTGCTCTATACCATGTGAAGAAATGAGGAATGAATGAACTAGCAAGCAGGTGGGTACAAGTAGGAAAACCTAGAAGTGTTGTACCCCATATTGTCTACCCCACTACAGCCTACACAGACTAGAGCATATGAGTTTGACAACACACTGTCCTCCAGGGGTAAAGTTTCAACCCAATGATCCTGGAAGACAGCATTGCTCACCAAGTTCGTCAAGAACGAGGGGAGGTGGAGACCTGACAGTGAGCCGGACGGAACCACCGGGCACGGAAGCACAGTGGTGGACCGTGCAAGAACTGGGCCCCCTGAGGGGTCAGCCAGAGACACTGCAATAGGTGCAAGGAGTGGTGTGAGTGCAGTACTGTCACGGAAGAAGCAGCAGGAAGCACCTGAGTCAAGCGTGAAGGTGTGCAAGGCCTCAGGAGGCGCAGTACCTGAGAGAGAAGACTCACCTGCACCTAAGGCAGTAGCATCACTAGCACCTAGAGCAGGAACCTCTATACCGGGGTCGTACTGCACACACAGGTAACAATCACTCTCAGCTCCACCAGACAAAGCAGACATGGCAGTAAGAATGGCGTCATAGTCTAAAGCAAAGACATGAACGCACGACCTAAGCAGCTCAAGCCAGTGGGGGATCTCAGCCTCGTCGCCAAACTCTGCGTGCCAGGCGTCAGTCAAATAGGTGAAGCAGCGAGACTATGCGTGACCAAGTGTCCCACATGTCTGACCAGCTTGACGACCTATGCGAATGATGTACAGACAGCGACCAGGACTCGCAGACGTCCCACGCTGGTAAAGCCACTCACGAAGCTGCCGTAGTTGCATCTGGCCACCGCCAGAGACTCCACACCACACAACTCCATAGTGGCTGCTACAACGGCCACCACGACTCCCACTGCTCCCGCCACCGCCGTCACCACTCCCACCGCGACTACAAGGTGAAGTCATGGCGGGCAAGCTAGGAGGAGCTTTCACAATGTAAAATTGACTAAATCAGAAAGTACAAACAATATATATGCAAAACCTTGTCAAACATATAAGCTATAGTCTGTGTAGGCTGTAGTAAGGTAGACAATATGGGGTAGAACACTTTTAGGTTTTCCTACTTGTACCCACCTGTTTGCCAGTGCATTCATTCCTCGTTCTTTCACATGGTATAGAGCAGGTTCCCTAATGGGAACGTTTCCTAGGGCCCACCGAAAATCGACTTTTTTTTTTCCTGCCCGGAGCGCGCTTTGCCCCTGCCCGAATCGCGCCCCATGTGCCTGCCCTCCCTTCGCGTCCCCTGCCCTTGCGGCCCGTCGCGCTCCCTTACGGCCCCGTACCGGCCCCTCTCTTGGCCCCTCACGGCCCCTTTCACGGCCCTTTGTGGCCCCTTCAGGCCCCTCAGGGCCCCTTCGTGGCCCCTCGCGGCCCCTTCGCGGCCCCGTCGCCGCCCTCCGCGGCCCCGCCGCCGCCCTTCGCGGCCCCGTCGCCGCCCTTCGAGGCCCGTCACGGCCCCTTCTCAGCCTCGTCGCCGCCCTTCGCGACCCCGTCGCCGCCCTTCTCGGCCCCATCGCCGCCCTTCGCGGCCCCGTCGCCACCCTTCTCGGCCCCGTAGCCACCCTTCGCGGCCCTTCTTGGTCCCGTCGCCACCCTTCGCGGCCCTTCACAGCCCCTTCGCGGCCCCGTCGCCGTCCTTCGCGGCCCCTTCACGGCCCTTCGTGGCCCCTTCACCACCCTGGGCGGCCCCTTCTCGGCTCCCTCACGGACCTGCCGCCCCGACGTCGCCGCCCCTGCAGCAGCAGCCAACGCCGCTCCAGCAGCGAGAGCCGCCACCGCCGGTGTCGCCGACAGCAGGCAACCGCCGCCACCACAGCCGGGGCCGCATCCACCGCAGCAGCCTACAGCAGTAGCAGTCGCCGACGGCAGCAGCCGCAGCCGCCACAGTCGGGGCCGCAACCGCCGCCTGCAGCTGCCGTCGTCGTCGACAGCAGGGGCCGCCGCCGCTGTCTCGGCCCTGCCCTCCAGAGCGGAGTGGCCCTCCTCTGCCACCCTGTAGCGGCCCCGTCCCTGCCGACGCGCCTCGGCCCTGCCCCACCACTTGCGGCACTCTACCCACCTCCCCTGGTAAGAGCACCACCGAGTCGCGCCCCTCCTGTTGCTACTACTGCTGCTGCACCTAGCTTACTGCCCCTAGCCTGCTGCCACTGCTGTCATGGCTACCCCTAGCGTTCTCACCTTTGATGCTGAGGTTCGGGCTGTTGACTTTGAGATCTGGGTCGATGATCCACAGCTTTTCCTACAGTGCGATAGGAAAGATGGTCTCTCATTGTTCGATCTCACATCTGGCGCCTCTGCTGCCCCTGTTGCCGATGCTGACAGCACTGTTCGCTCACACTGGGCCACACGCAATGTTGCTGCCCGTCTTGCTGTGCGTAGTGACGTGTCGTCCACTGAGCGCGCGCACTTTAGTCAGTACAAGAGTGCTAAGACCTTGTACGACGCTGTAGTTGCACGCTACTCTTCCCCTACCACTGCTGCCCTTAGCCGCCTCATGCTGCCGTACATGTTCCCTGACCTCGCCGCCTTTCCCACTGTCGCTGACCTCATTAAGCACCTTTGCACTAGTGACACCCGCTACCGCGCTGCGCTTCCTGCTGAGTTCTGCACCAAGAACCCCCCCCCCCCCCCCCCCCCCATGTACATCACCCTCTATTACATAGTCACTCGGCTCCCTGACTCCCTTCGCTCGGTCAGGGGCCACTTCCTCTCTGTTTGCCCCACCACACTCACCGTTGACCTCCTCGAGGAGCGCCTCCTGGCAGTTGAGAAGAGTATAGTCACTGTAGTAGCCTCTCGTGGTGAGTCTCGTGCCCCCTTCTTTGACGGGTGCTCCCCCTCCCCCCTTTTGCCCTCAGTTGCCTCTGCTGCTGCCGTCGACTTCGTTGGCACCGAGTCGGTCGGCGCTGCGTCTGCCCCTAGCGGGAGACGCCGCACCGGCAAGGGCAAGGGGGGCAAGGGAGCTGGAGGGGCTGGTGGGGGCGGTGGAGGTGGCGGTGGAGGCGCCGGAGGGAGTGGGGGTGGCGATGCGAGTGGTGGCCGGGGTGGGGGCTTCAGTGGCGGGGGTGGGGGCTTCAGTGGCGGCGGTGGAGGCGGAGGCGGCGGCGGCGGTGGCGGTGGGAGCGGAGGAGGAGGCGGTGGCGGCGGTGGCGGAGGTGGCGGCGGCGGAGGTGGAGCTGGTCGGGGTGGCTCTGCGCAGTGGAGCGGCTTTGGTGGTGGTCACCGCCAGCAGCAGCAGCGCACTCGTGACACCCTGCCCCCCCAGCAGCTTCGTGAGTGGTACGCTGCGCGTCAGCAGGGTGGGGGTGCTGGTCCTTGTGCCTACATCCTGCGTACCGGCAACCGCACTGGTGAGCAGTGCAGTGGCCCGCACACCACCCAGCGCTGCTTCGGCCGCCTGACGGACGGTTGGCGTCTTCAGTTCCCTGGCGCCAACGAGACCCCCCGCTGGGGTGAGCTGCTTAGGTCGGGGGTTGCTATCTTTGATATGGATTATGATGCCATTCTTGCTGCCATGTATGTTGTGTCTACTAGTGATGAGGGTGACTGTTACCTGTGTGTCCCGCCCGACCCGGGCATTGAGGCTGCTGCTCCAGGTGCTGGTGAGGCTGCTGCTCTAGGTGCTAGTGCGTCTGCTGCCCCAGGTGCTGGTGAGTCTGCTCTCTCAAGTACCACGTCGGCTCCGGCCTTACACACCTTCACCCTTCACTCGGGTGCTTCCCGCTCCATCTTTTGAGACCGCACCACGCTTACGCCTCTTAGTCGGCCAGTTGAAGTCTCCGTGGCGGACCCCTCTGGGGGTCCTGTCCTTGCCCGCTTCTCCACTGTCTTACCGTGTCCGGCGGCCCCCTCTGGCACTCTGTCCGGTCTCTACCTCCCCTCGTTCTCTACGAACTTGATGAGTGGTGCTGATCTACAGGATGGGGGGGTTGACCAGTTCACTCCTGCGAGTCAGCGGCTCACCCACTGCACGTGTGCTCGGACGGGCCGACACTTGGCCACGTTTTCCCGTCAGCCGGGGTCGAGCCTGTACACACTGACTACTGAGTCTCCTCCAGTTGCTAAGTCTGGTCAGGTAGCTGCGTCAGGTCAGGTGTTTGCTGCGGCATCCAGGTCTGGTCCTGAGTCTGCTCCCTGCTCGTGTCGTCTCATGTCCAACCGGACTCTCCTCTGGCACCACCGCCTTGGTCACCCCTCCCTGCCTCGTCTCCGAGGCATGGCCTCCCGTTACCTTGTCTCTGGTCTCCCCCGGTCCCTTCCTCCCCTCCCTCCGGGGCCTGCCCCTACCTGCGTTCCCTGTGTTGAGGGGCGGCAGCACGTCGCCCCTCACTCCTCCGAGTTTCCTTCGACAGAGGCTCCACTGCAGACTCTTCACATGGATGTGTGGGGCCCCGCCCGCGTCCGTGGCCAGGGTCACGAGCGTTACTTCCTGTTGGTGGTTGACGACTACTCGCGTTACACCACGCTGTTCCCCTTGCGCAGCAAGGGTGACCTCACTGAGGTGTTGGTCGACTGGATCCGCGCGGCTCATCTCTAGCTCAGAGAGAGTTTCGGCTCGGACTTTCCTGTTCTGCGTCTACACTCTAACAGAGGCGGGGAGTTTTCCTCTGCCCTTCCGGGAGCCTTCTGTCGTGCACAGGGCATCCGCCAGACCTTCACGCTTCCGGCCTCTTCACAGCAAAATGGGATTGCTGAGCGCCGCATTGGCATGGTCATGGACGTCGCTCATCCATGCGGCTGCTCCCCATTTTCAGTGGCCGTTTGCGGCTCGGTACTCAGCGCATCAGATCAACCTTCAGCCCCCGGTTTCCTTACTGGAGACCTCCTCCACCTTGCGGTGGACGGGGAGGGTTGGCGATGCGTCTGCGTTTCGGGTCTGGGGATCTCGGGCGTTTGTCCGCGACTTGTCTGCGGACAAGCTGTCCCCCGTGCTGTTCCCTGTGTCTTCCTTGGCTTCCCCCCTGACGAGCCTGGTTGGCAGTTTTACCACCCCACCTTGCGCCGTGTTCTGTCCTCCCAGGACGTCACCTTTAACGAGTTGGTTTCTTACTACCGTCTCTTCCCCTACCGCACCGCCGCCGCTCTTCCTTGCGCCAGGTCCCCCCTGGTAAACCCTCTCCCCCCTCAGGGTCCTGCCCCGTCAGCTGTGTCCCAGGTAGACGCACACGAGCCTGTCGAGGTAGCTGTTGACTCTGGTGCTGCTAGGGGTGCTGAGCCTTGGGGTGCTGAGTCTGGGGGTGCTGAGCCTAGGGGTGCTGAGCCTGGGGGTGCTGAGCCTGGGGATGCGGAGCCAGGGGGTGCTGAGCCTGGGGGTGCTGAGCCTAGGGGTGCGGAGCCTGGGGGTGCAGTGCCTGGGGGTGATGAGCCTGTTGGTGCGGAGCCTGGGGGTGCAGTGCCTAGGGGTGCGGAGCCTGGGGGTGCAGTGCCTAGGGGTACCGGGTCTGCTCGTGTGGCCTCTGGCGGTGCTGGGTCTGGGGCTCCTTCGGGTGCTTCGTCTCAGCGGGAGCAACCCTCTCCACAGGAGCTGCGAAGTGGTTTGCCTGGCGCTGGAGCCGTGCTGCTTGAGCTGGAGGTGCTACTGTTGCTGCTAACCGTGGGGTCGGCGCTGGAGGTACTGGAGACCCTGGTCCTGGAGGTGCTCATACTGGAGGTACTGGAGCTGCTAGGCCTGGGGGTGCTGCTGGGGCTACTGGAGTTGGTCCTGCTGGAGGTACTACGGGTGGTGCTGGAGGTAGTGGAGCAGCTGGGGGTGTTGGCGCTGGAGGTGCGACTAACGCTGGTACTCCTGAGGGTGTTGGAGTTGGCGCTGCTGGAGCTAGAGGTGCTGCTGGCGCTGGTGCTACCACTAGGGGTACTAGTGTTGTCCCTACTGTTTCAAGACGCGCTGAGCGGCCGCGGCCGTACTTCGTTCCGCTCCTTGAGCAGGTTCTTGGTCTCTTGCCCTCTCCTGGTTCTGCTCCTCCCTTAGGGTGTCCACAGCCTGTCCAGTCGCAGTCACAGTTACAGCCCGCCTCCCCCCTGCCTGCTCCTTCTCTCTACACTGGTCCTACTGGAGGTCTTGCTGAGCGTCATGAGCCTGCGTCTCGTCCTGCGTCGCCTGTTGGTGCTGCTCGCACTAACGGTCGTGTTCCGCGTCCCCGTCCTCCTGCGGTCCCAGGCACACAACAGATGGCACTGCGTCCTTTCACTGCTCCTCTGCGTGTCCCGTTGCCGTCTCCTCCAGAGTCCTCTCTTCTTGCTCTTGCTGACCCAGAGTCTGACTCTCTTCTTGCTGCCAGTCCTACTGTCACGCATCTCCTGGCTACTATTGTCACTGACCCTTTCTTTGAGTCCACTGCTGCGTCTGCCTTAGTTGCTGAGCTTGTCGACTTTGCTGCTCGCTGTCGTCTAGACTACGCCACTAGTTTCGTTGCTGAGTCTGAGTCTATCCATCCTCCGTCCGTCGGGGGTGAGTGTGCCCTGAGCACGGACGTCCTTGAGGACAGGCAGGAGGAGTTTCAGTCTTTTGCTGCTGCTTTGCCTCCATCTCGTGTCCATGCTGATTGCCCCTAAGGGAGACCCGGATGCACTAGACATCCCGACTCCTCGATCGTACGCTGAGGCGATCGAGCGTCCCTACTCCTCTTAGTGGCAGTCAGCCATGGATGCAGAGATAGCTTCCTTGAAGTCCACAGGCACCTACGTCGACGAGGTTCCCCCACCTGGGGCGAACATCGAAATTGGCATGTGGATTTTTGGGGTGAAGCGGCCGCCAGGTTCTCCGCCTGTCTTCAAGGCGCGTTACGTGGCTCGAGGCTTCGGTCAGTGGAAGGGAGTTGACTACTTTCATACCTTCTCTCCCACCCCGAAGATGACCACTCTTCGGGTGCTGCTGCACATAGCTGCTCAGCGCGACTACGAGCTTCACTCTCTTGACTTCATCACAGCTTTCCTATAGGGCAGCCTGCACGAGGAGATCTGGCTGCGCCGCCCACCTGGCTTCACTAGGTCGTTTCCTCCTGGTACCCAGTGGAGCCTCCGGCGGCCAGTCTACGGTCTCCACCAGGCGCCACGTGAGTGGAACAACACACTGAGGACTACACTTGCGGCTCTTGGGTTTGCTCCTTCTACTGCCGACCCGTCGATGTTTCTTCGCGCCGACACCTCTTTGGCGCCGTTCTACATCCTCGTGTACGTCGACAACTTGGTCTTTGCTACAGCTGACACTGCTGGACTCGCCCACGTGAAGTCCGAGCTGCAAAAGAGACACACGTGCAAAGACCTAGGTGAACTGCGCAGCTACCTTGGCTTGCAGATCACCCGGGACAGAGCATAGTGCACCATTACCCTGACTCAATCACACATGGTGCAGCAAATCCTTTAGCGCTTCGACTTCACGTACTCCTCGCCTCAGGCCACTCCTCTGTCTACTTGCCACTCGCTCTTAGCTGTGCCTTTGGATGAGTCCGTAGAGCCGAGTGGCCCGTACCCACAGCTTGTTGGCTGCCTCGTGTACCTGATGACCTGCACTCGACCTGACCTTGCATACCCTCTCAGCATCTTGGCACACTATGTTGCTCCTGGGAGACACAGACCTGAGCACATGGCTGCAGCGAAGAGAGTGTTGCGCTACTTGTGCAGTACGTTGGGCATGGGGCTAGTGCTTGGAGGGCGTCGTTCAGTGGTCCTTACCGGTCACGCATACGCTTCTTGGGCTGACAACTAGGCTACGCAGTGGTCATCACAGGGTTACACCTTCAGCCTTGGTTCCGGCTCTATTTTGTGGCGGTCCACCCGCTCGTCTTCTGTTCTCGGCTCGAGCTGTGAGGCTGAGATCTATGCGGGGGCCATGGCTGCACAGGAGCTACGCTGGCTCACCTACCTGCTGACCGACTTGGGCGAGCCACCTCGTTCTGCTCCAGTTCTGTACGTAGACAACAAGGCCATGCTGGCCTTGTGTCGGGAGCACAGACTGGAGCACAGAACGAAGCACATTGCTCTTCGTTACTTCCTTGCTTGTGAGCTGCATCAGCGTGGTCAGCTGCGCCTTGTTTACGTAGCCTCTCAGGCCAACACTGCTGATATCTTTACCAAGGCACTTCCGCCTTGTGATCATCAGCGCTGCTGTATGATGCTAGGTCTTGTGCCTACTTGGCCTCACTTGCTCACTTCTTGACCTTGCTTGTATTGTGATCTATCCATACCTGCACTTGCTTGTTTACCTTTATATCTGATCTTGCATGTGAACTGGCCTTGTGGCCTTGAACTTGTGCTCGGAATGTGTGGTGACGTTGTGATCCACCCTGAGCTTACTTTGCTTTACTTGACTGGTCTTGTGACCTCTTGTTCTCCCCCACTTTGCCTATGGGGGTATGTCAAACTTATATGTTGTAGTCTATATAGGCTGTAGTGGGGTAGACAATATGGGGTACAACACTTTTAGGTTTCCCTACTTGTACCCACCCGTTTGCCAGTGCATTCATTCCTCGTTCTTTCACAAACTTAGCCCTAGTGCAATTAGAAAACAACATAAGGGAGAACACCTAGACAAGAACTACACAAACTATAGAATTATAGATTGACAGGAGCGTGACCTCTGAGTGAAGGCGGTAGTACGAGTAGCAGCAGTAGTAAGACGAAC